CAAGTTGTAGCAGACGTTCATGAGCAACATACACAAGAGCAGTCACAAAAACATGCTATAATGCGAAAAGTATTAAGTAATGCTGAACGCCAAAAACGATTTCGTGCTAAAAAAGGGGCATTAAGTAATAGATCAACTCAAAGTAGCTTTCTTCAACCACGAACTAGTGCTGAACGTCAAAGATTATTCAAAGCAAATAAGAAATTACGACAAAAAATACAGAAACTCAAGAAGAAGAGTTTACACAAACCCAACAAGAGCAATATGTACAACATCTCGTTAAAGAATGTTAAATGTTGCAAATAAAAGATATTTTACATCTAAATGGAAATTAAATTAACTTTTACCTATTCCTGATCCATTTATAAATTATTAGACTAACAAGAATATTAAAATTATAAAATAAAATTATTATTGCCATCATGCGTTAAACAAGTTCAATATTTTATGGTTTCTATTATTTTATGAAGTTATTTATCACTTCACAATCTATAAAAGTTGTTGATTAATAGCTATTAGTTATATAAAATAAGTTCAAAAATGGACACATTAATTAACAAAAAGTACTTGGAGGTGCCGGGCATCGATCCCGGTACCTCTCGCATGCTAAGCGAGCGCTCTACCATCTGAGCTACACCCCCTTGATGTTTTCACACCGATATCCGCTGAACACAATCTTAATGAAAAATTGTCCCCCCAAACTAACCTCTGTGATCTAGACATTGATTTTACCACAAGATTTTCCTCACTTCCTAAGTTGTGGCATTAGTGATTTATTTCAGGTTTTTAAACGAAAAATGGAACAAGTAGTGGAAGATATTGAGAAAAAGGTGCATTTGTACTTTTAGAAATACGTCAACAGTTTTTAATTATTTTTTGCAGATGAAAAAAACCGATGCTCAACTGGACACTCTGGCCCTGCAAGTCGAAAACATCGAACTAGAAATATTCACAGAAGAAGGACAGGAGTTGGAAGTGCACAATTTGCTAAAGTCGGTGAGTGAAGTGAAGGACAACTACCAGAATTTGAGAAAAGACCTTTTGGAGGTAAGATTTTTCGATCAAATCTAAAGGTAAGTAAGAAATTGAAGTTTCATGACATCGTAGGTGCAAGGTCTTCAAAAACAGCTCAGCTCTTCATTAAATCTCCAGTTAAAAATGATGCAGAGCAAATTTAATGGGCTGAAAGAAAGAGTTATTGTTGCCAAACATTCACAGATTAATTCCAAGGCAACCCTACTGGGCGATAACAAATAAGTATACGTTTGTAGCTTCAACAGCTTTAGCTAAATCTACCCTTTCTTGAAAAAGTATTTTTGTATGTTGGCCTTTCTAAAATGCTATTACCACCTGCAAGCAAAGTATCTGGTGGATGCAGTTCTTTAGTTATTAAAACTGAATCGTTAAACCTGTACAAAAACAGGAAAGAAATTTTTGGTACAAAACAGAATCAAATTTTATCGCTTTTGGCAGTTTTTGCGGCCTACTTAGGCTGGCCCGATTTTCTTTTCTGTCTTTACTGAAAAACCTGACCTAATACCAGGCTTAATGTATTTACTACAAACATCTATTGCGACACTATCTACACTAAAAACTAGTTTAGTGTGAGTTTTTGCATGGTAACAACTGAAGGGAATGAAGACTGATATTTACTAGAGCATGTTTGTTTGGAAGTAGCTTAAGTTATTGGATATGCGTTCGGGTCATGTATTGGAAACGATGAAAGGTAAGTAAATTTCAATGCAAAATATATTTTTGTTTTTTATGATGCTGGCCAGAGTATGACTTCTGGATCTACAACCCGTCAGCAACGATCATTTATACGCCGCTTAAGATAGGCATAATTAAATGCACTGGACTTTACTTTAATAATGCTGTTAGGTTCGATCTTGACACGTATACCTACCTAGTATTGAAGAGTAGGATGACACTGCTGTTCCATTAGTGTAATAATTGCACTTGCATACATTCTAACTAATTTGTGATACAATTCTAGTGCGTAGTTTTTGAGTTTTTTGAGGTATTTAATTTGAACTCAATTGAAATCCGTTTTCAATCAAATGTACATTTAAACAATGCGTTTATTTTGAAATGTGAATATTCCTATTATACAGTTGATCACTCATTTACGAGCAGCTATTTTTACATCTTTCACAAATAATACATTTGATTGAAACGTTTGCATGTTTGCAACTCTAGTCAATTTTAAAGTGACCATAGTATTTATGAAACACACGTCTTGCTCAAAACTTACTCCTACACCACACAGACTTTCTCTGACATTAAAGTTATACTATTGACGTAATTTGTTATCGTTCAAATTATACTAAAATATATTTATAATGTAAGTTTTTATAAAAGATTTTCAACTACTTAATAGAATTTGATTTTAGGTACGGGTTGGAAAAATTCAATACTTACTTTTCCTGCCTACTTACTGTAGTATTCTAATTTAAATAATACTTAAATATTATTACCCGTAAATGTTTGCTCAAATTATCCCCCGATAACGTAGCATCTAAAATGGCACAATACCACCACTCATTCTATATTCTCGATATTATGTCAATTTTCATCGTCCCATCACAATATTGCTAGTCTAAAGACTTAGTCGACTATTTATAGAGGAATAGATCTATTACATGAATGTATTTGATATCTATATCAACGTGCAATAAAGAGTCACAGTGTTTGAGAAATTACCTTCTAAGATGGGTTTTATTCAATTCCTTTATGTTCCAATTTGTATGTTGAACTGTTTTTGCGCTCTTAGTTATTTCACAAGAAATTTTCAAATTCAATTCAAGAATTGCACGAACTGAATTGAATTTTGCATCGATCGTATTTTTCCTTAAATTTAACCCTAACAATATATTAATTTGGCTATTAGTTTTAGCTTTGGCGTTGTGCATTAATCACTGCAGCTGAATGAAATTGAGACAAATATAAGTAAATGGATCTAAATTTAAAATTAAATTAGTGAAAGATCGGCGCTTGGAGCGTTTTCCGTTCAGTTGGAACGTGAAATTTGTCTTTGGAAATATTGCAATGCGAACAGACACTTTCAACAAAAATGTCAACAGTAAACACTGAAATCGAACTGCCAGCAAATTATTATATAATCATCTTTATTCTGTATTTTTTTCCCGAAATGGTGTATGAATAATATCAGTTTGCTACCAACAGTGGACGAAATTGATCGGTAGTCTTTTGTGTTCTTATATCGGAAATGTAGATTCATTGTGGCCCTTATGGTAAGTGCGATAGTTTGTGAAAGTGTAGTGAATTTATAGAATTAAAAATATTATGAAAATATAATTTATAGTAGAACATGGAAGAGATGGCGACAGCTTGCAGAAAGCTCGAATGATCTCTAATCTATACATTTTTTAGCTTGAACTGAGTTAAGTTTTCCGACAAGCAACTTTAGTTTTATGGGTTCTTTATATTTCTCTCTCTTTGCTTTGCTGATTTCAAATAAGTTTTGCTTTGGACAGATTTCATGCTGTACTAAACACAGTTTCTTCTTTCTTTCCAGGTGGTAAGTTCATCATTACTTTGCCCCTGTTTACCATGTACATGTGAAACTTTTATTCCCATATTCAACTGACTCGTACGGTGGATTTGGTATCGATTTCCTATTGGTTCTTCGTAGTTAATTTTTCTACGGCTTTGTATTCTTACAGCAGCTATTGAAATTTCGGTGCACTTTGGTAAAATAATACGCGTCTTAAATAAATAACCTTTATTTACAATTGAAACGGTTACAAACGATTTATAATCAGGTAAATATGATTTCAAACCGCAAATATGAACTAAACTGAGTTGTTCATTTTCAATCGCCCTGTTTTGCCATTTTTAATGTAAAATTTACAAAGGTATACTTTAGAATGGCCCCAGTCACTACACAATAAATTCGCAAAATGTTAGTGCGCTTAAATAGTCATACGTTGAAATTGTAAACGCTATATGACAATTTACACACACCACTAGAAAACATGAGTTTAAGCAAAACTTTATCCCAGCCTTATAAAGGTGATCACTTTAGAGGTGAAACAAAGAAATGAAGAAAAACGGCCGATCTTTGCCTTGTATTGTAAGTATTGATTTTTGGCGAAAAACTTCAGTTATCTTCTTAGTACTTCCCATATTCAGTTGGATCTATTGTGGGCATCGTATATTATGATAACCTTTATAAGTCCTCTATAATTTTACAATCTATCATACTATAGTCTAATGCATATCAAAAATATTTAAGAATTTGTTTTTACGTAATGCTGCGCGACGTCTGGCTAAAGAAGAAATACTTGCTCCCTTTGTGGGATTAAATTGCCTGGAAATTTATACATTGAGAATCGACTACTTTCCGTTAATGCGAAACCAATTGTTGTGGCTATAATTAATGCTGACTTACAGCAAGTATCTGAAGGGAGCACAGTGACATGAAGCTCTAAAATTATAATTCAGTCGTTAAGGCATTACGTTTGAAATTTTCGTGCAATTCGGTCGATTGCCTAATAATACTGAACAAGTGTGCAAAAAAGAGTTTAGCGACGACCAAACTTTTAATGGTTTTAAAACGGGCGGTCCCTTAGCCTAGTAATACTTGGAAATCTAAACTGAAAAGACAAACGGTACAAGTTTTGCATTTATCTACATAATGTTATTTATTTATATATTTACATCACCTCAAAGTTATGTAAAATATCACTTAGTAGTTAATTAAGGGGCAAAACAGTGAGGCGCACGTGTGAAATATTCTTAACGGCTATACTCTATATGTGTAATACTGATCTCTGTCTGTCCCTTTAGTATTGATTTAGATTCTCAACCATCAAATTATTTATTATAGATTGTTTGCTACGTATATTTTAATTGGTTCCAAAAAGTTCGAATTCACCCTGTGAGTAGCTGCTGCCTTTTTGGTAACTGTGTCATTAATATTCAAACCCTTTTAATGTTTTTGTTATTGGACTGTGCGATATTTCGTTGTATACTGTGGAACAGATAAACTTTATTCAAAGCTCTAAAAGCGATTATTTAAATTATTGCTAAATTTAGATATAATCGATCTCACTCTAAGACTTACAATGCGTGAGTAGAGCAAATTTCGAAAAGTCTAGCGCTCTTTGCGGCTGTACACTACTCTTCTTTCTGACCAGCTTCATCTTCTCCTTAAAACTTTTGTCGGTTGTTTTGTTTTTTTGTAACGTCCATTTGCTTCGTTTTTCGCCTGATCGTTGCACTTCTGGGCCACTGTTCTCTCCCGACGAATAGTGATTCTAGAAATGAATAAGTATATGTATAATCGAATGGAGTAAAATGGTCGCTCGATATCTTTTATTAGATGAGACATAGAGGAAGATAGGGTACTTACTGTGTATAAGGGAGTTGAGTATTCTTTAATTTTATATCTCAATTCGGACTTCAACTGCCACTCTTGCAGGTAAAAGTTCTGTTTCACGCTGTGGCCTTTTTTTCTTAGTAGGTTGTGCCACCTAAATGAAACCAGATTGTCTATTTCATTGTGAGTTTTTTTAAATTAATTGAGTTTTTATGCCGCAATCACACCACTTCATAAAGTGCCAGTTCTATCTAACTATCTATTTGCTAGTTAGCAAATCATAATCATTATACATTTGTACAGGGTGTCTCAAGAGGAGATTCGTACCTAGTAAGCATCTGGAACATTTGAGCCTGCTGACCGAATTTTCGGTAGTATCTGAATACGCCTACTGCAGAGTCCTGATGGGTTGCGTCTATCCTGAGGGAGGTCCAATAGAATTTCATGGCTCGTAGATGATTACCTAAAACATAAAAACGATAGAACAGAACGACGAGGAGTTCGATTGCAAACTCGATAAGTTGTTGGATGGGTATGTTAGATTTAAACCAGTGGAGTTGGGCGTGATTTTTTAATTACCTTTTTTCGTCAACCATTCTCCGAATTTCGACGAATAATAGGGATCATGGGGATTGAGTTCAACTACTTTTAACAACAACTCGGAAATTGTTCGGTGGTTGGGGCCTCGAAGTCTAGCCAGTTCCAAGTAGGCCGGTGTGAATCCGGGTTCCAAATTGATGCACTTTGTGAGCATTTCTTCGGACTCCGTTGTTTTGTTGTTTTTTCTAACGTTTGGAAATTCTTTCTTGAAGTCATCAATTAAACGAATTTGAAACCTTACCGATATAATTGGCCCAAATTGAAATGAGCATTAACGTGATTTGAGGCAAATTTGATGGCTGCTAGGAAATGTTGTTCCGCTTCGTAATTGTTCTTCAGTATTGTCCCTAGGTTGTTGTGAGCGCTAGCATATGTGGGCCATAGCCTAAAGATCGATTATGTCAATAAGTAACTCATATCAGAAAGTAACTCATGTGGTGCCTACTTTAAGGCCGTGTAGTAATGGGACCTGGCCAGTTCGTGCCGTGAGGAATCCCGGAGGAAATTCGCATAATTATAATGCATTTTTGCGTTGTGTGGGAGAGTTTGAAGGCCGGCTCTGCAACATACCAAAAATAGTTCGGACTTAAAAAAGCGCACTTCAAACATTTATTTAAGGCGGGGGCAACCAAGCAGATTTCCAACGTGATTTCCATGGAACGGTCTCACAGAAAGCTTCACTATTCATCCACTGCCATCCACTGCTAAGCACTAATTTAAATTAAAATGACTAAAAAACTGCGGTTATAAACTTATAAATAGTGGAAGCCGGTGAATGATTGCTATGAGACTTCGTATTCCCTGATTTTAGTCGATGGTAGCAGAGACAAGTAATAATCATATTATATTATTATAGTATAGATAGTTATCCCTTGGGTAATGGTGTCGTTTGAGGCTCTCGGAATTTGCAGTTTTGTCCATCCTTGCCTTAAAGATCACTTCAAATTAAGCATTCTCAGTGAAAATGTTTCCTGAAGGGTCCATAATTTAAGCCAATTTTCAATTTCAGTTTCAGGCGGTGTTGCCAAACTGCGCAAATGTTTCCTTGGATATCTACCATGTAGATTCATTCGTTTGTATTTTTCATTTTTATTTGGTATTCACATGTATTCATAGCACCGGACAATATCATTTTCGTGCGTAAATAAGTGGTTTTAGAAACTCAAATTTCAAAATTTTTCACTGAGAGTGCTTAATTTGAAGTGATCTTTAAGGTAAGAATAGAGAAAACTAGAAATTCCGCAAACCTCAAACGACACCATCACCTTAATATTGAGTATGACTCCTTTGAATTCCTAGATAGGGTTCGTTTACATGATTCATTTCGATTCATCGATTTGACTTTAAAATGTAAGTAATCATGAAGTTTCACAAATCTTCAGTTGTCTCCATTCGTTCTGTGTGTGCACTCTACATTGTAAACTAAACCTACCTGGTAATTAACAGTAGAACGGGTCAGCAGTTAGCTGCCTTCATATCTAAATGCAGAATGCAAATTTTCACCCTCCCGCACATGGATAGTCAAAACGCAATTTTTAATCGCTTAAGTGTGAGCGCGATAAAATGTTCTGCAGCGCTCGTTACTTTTCATAGCGAGAGCCAGTCGATTTGACTTTGAGTAATTCTCAACTTTTCCCTGCATATCTTACTTATACAGGGTTATTCACACTATACGGCACGGACACATATCGGGTGCACATTTTAAAAATATTTTTGTAATGTACAGAGTGTCCCAAAAGCCCTAAAAGTATCAAAGTTGTGTTTTTCTAAATGAAATACCC